ACAGCCCACGTATTAATGCGTCACAATGCAAATCCGAACACACTTGATGATGACGGACTTGCACCATTACATCGTGCATCATCGGAGATGGTTCATGTCCTTACCTCAGTGAGTTCCACCGCGCTGTTTATCACCGGGACTGTTTCCTTCCGAGGACATTTGAGCGCATTCTCTGGAGTTTTGGTGTTGTCTTTAAGGCTGCTTTAGCCACAACCCATTCATGAGCTGTCTGTTTTACTAAACTGCGGTTGAGTTACAACTGAGGCTTCAAGTAACGTACGAAAATGGCCCCTGAATTCACACTCAACACAGTAATTTGGTAAAGGTTTATAGCTTCGAACTATCGGACAACTATTCACTTCAAGCTTAGACAAGCGTTATGCTTAACGAGATGCTGGACTTTACATGCCCACAATATAGTCGGAGTTAACATAAAGTAAGGGAACTAATATATGCTTCAGTAAGTTTGAACATAGCTTTTACGTGTTTTAGTGCGAGAGGCAAGCAGGTTTTGGTCCAAAAACCGTGCGCGCTCAACTGTAATACGTTGTCCACGCAAAAACCAACCTCAGCTTGGATCGCGTGTTGGACGGTCAAATAGACCTTCCGTTCAATGCCCCCAATCTATTTATCTCTGCTGATTCCAGCAGTTGCCTGCATGAAACCATTTCCCAAATACATCCGAGAACAACCCGGCCGAAAACAGGAAACTCCACAGAATTTGCTAGCATTGATGTAAATGGCATTCCGATGTTTATTACCGGTTTACCGACAAATCGATGGAGTCGCCATGGGTTCTCCTCTTGGTCCCTTGTTGAGTGACATTTTTATGGGCAAACTGGAGCTTGGTCGATTGAACGGTGAGATTAGACGTGTCGAAGGTATGTAGATGAAATTTTTATGCTAGTATCAAACAGTTACGAAGTGGATGCTGTCCTGACCAACTTCAACTGAGCGCATCCATCCACCCAGTTCACTTTTGAACCTGAAAGTGACAGCGCTTTCCACTTCCTGGATGTTATGTTAGACTTTCCACGGGTTCATTTCAGAGGTCTGTCTACAGAAGACCCACGTGGACGGGACAGCACACAAACTTCCTGATTTTTGTGTCACTGAGGCGGAAACGAACCCTGATTCACACTTTAACGAACCGAGCAAAACGTATTTTCTGTGCTGATACACTGGGCTCTGAACTGCAGCATACTGTTAACGTGTTCCGGGTCAATGGTTATCCGGAGAGATTTATAACCAAGAGTAGTTTCGATTGGCCTATCCAACCGCCGATTGCGACCATTGGAAAGAAGTGAATCTACTTGAGTTTACCGTGTAAAGTCGATCTGTTAGTGGACGTAGTCAATCGCCGCTTGTTTCAATCCCAAAAACGCACGCTTTCGGCTGAAACTCTGTGGCCTTGGTTTACAACCAACCCTTTTCTCAACTTATACCTCGAAGGCAAGATGTCAGTCTTCATCCAGAATATGGTTGCGTATTCTTTCTCCTGCTGTTGTTCAGCGGAGTATGTTGAGCGCACAACACGGCAACTTTCTAAGAGAATTCGTGAGCAGCTCTCTTACAGGATTATTATTAGCCCCAACAGTTCAGCCAGAAGCTAAATTGCGTCCTACCTAATTGACACCGGGCATGTATTCAATCCGAATGAGTCATTTCATGTCGTTCACTGTGCACCTAATAGACTGCTAGTATCTTTTCGACGGCATCGCTTTACTAAAGCCGAGGCAGTCGTCATACACCTGCGAAACTCATAACTGTGCTGTCAAAAACGGTCCGTATGGACGCTGAGTCTGCATTGATCGTGTGACACGAATCAACCGGCTACTTCACTCAACAGCCCTCCAGAGTGTCCCACAGCATCCAACTATATGGGAAATGGACGGCTCAGATAACTACTTGTCTGCGTCTCCAATTTTCTTCATTTCGCGAGCCAAACTTCACTGCGTATTTCAACTATCGCTCCTATTATAACTATTAGATAAGTATTGTCCTGATGACGAGATCCCAAAAACATTAATGTTCGCCACTGTATTCTTGTTTAACTGAAAGTACTTCATATAGATATTTGAAATGACTTTCGATGGTTGAAATTAACCTGACATGGCGCTATGTGACTCCGTTCGTAAGCGACCTGTCCAGTACTTCGGAGGGAATTGACCACCAAACTATTCAATCTCTAACATATATTGTCTAATTCTGCGAAATGTCACATATTCTACCTTCCCGGTTTGCCAACAGCCATCCTTTATGTCACCATTAAGCGGTTATCTAGGCCAACCAGATTTTCTTCAACCAACTCGCTACTGAAGTGTTTGTCAGTAGTGTAAATTTTCAGCGCGATCACATTACAGGCATAATTTCTTGGACATATATATCGTGCTGGGAGAAATTATTGCGCCCTGGATGGTGAAAATATGACAGATTAAGACAAAACTCTATTGTATGACAGATTAGGACAAAACTCTATTGTATGTGAAACTGGAGAAGAGTTGAAGTCGACATTTCCGAGATGTCTTCCCGAAAAAACAAATATGTAGATTGGGCACTGCGCACATTTTTCAAACAAATCGTAGAATGCAGTTTGTACGGTAGAATATGGGAGTAGGGGATGGAAAGTCAGGGAAGCATAGTTTTTTATCTGGTTCACGAAAGCTAATCAGAACATATGTGCCTCGAAGCCTGCTAACTAAGTTCACTATCCTAACGTGACCTGTTCATGCAAAAGCATTTTGTACAGTTCAGATGCTGCATAGATTATTGTCCAACCAACAATAGGTTTGAGGCCGAATTCCTCGTCGAAACAATTTGGCTTGCATTTGTTAGTTGGCCTGTACTAATGAGGACCGATGCCCAAACCTAACGTTGAGGGTACTGTTAAGGTGCCTATCTGGGCATAAAAGCGCGTATTTAGGAAGAGTTGGACTAAGTACCACCCAGTTGTGCAAAATTCATCAGAGCGAATAAACCAAAGAATTATAGACTGGAGATACCTCCTTACCTTCAGTGAAGTCCACAATAAGGTTTACCTGGCTACCAATCTCCGAAGGAATTAAAGTACATTGTATAAATCTGTGACGACGTACATCAATAACGGGACGTTTGCCCGGAACAAGATCGCCAGGCTGCCTGCTCGTATTCTGCCCTTCTCGCCTAGTCCAAGTCCTCTTGTTTGACAAATCCTGTGACCAGATATCTGGCTTGGCCCTAGTAACACTCTCATCACCTTCTATCTGACCGACCAATATGACCTAAAACAGTATATTCTCGATTCAACCGTACTCCAAATCAGTTGTCGGTTTATCTACCAATGAAAAGAAGAAGGCCTTCGCTGCGGAGTTATTTACTAGAAAATACCAGTTAACCGGTTACAGACTATTGAACGGGGAAGCAAAACGCTCATTTGCATCTTATTTACAAAAACTGGACACCCATCTTCTCCTGAACGCGTCTTCTTGAACTTTCCTGGATATTCATTGACTCCAATCATTCAATGCTCGAATCGAAGCAAATTTTCTAAAGTGACTCGACTAATTCCGCAACAGATCCCCCCTTCTCAAGAGACGCAAAGCAAAATTCCAAGAACAACAGATACTACTCGCATGCCTCCCCATCAGTAGTATCACCGTTACACCAGTTCTCAGAAAGTTGTGAGAGGCATCAGTTATAAACGTTTGATGAGTGCTCCAAAAATGGCAGCTCAGAGCACAAATCTATAGAAATCTTTAAAAATCAAGTAACCTGAGTACTCTTACTACTTATGACAGAATGATGTTGGTGAGGATAACTTCTGCGGATTTCAACTTGCGATTCTTTCGATCGTGGGCCAGAATAAGATGGGTAAAAACGTTCTCAGCCTTAAATTAGAGAGGGTCGGTTACTGATCACTAATGTGATGACCTAGATTCATTACCATTTCGGACTGTGACCGGAGTCTGTCTGTCTGCTCGTGAGCGCTTGATGAAAGAGGGAGCCTTTTGAAGGGTGATTTGCACACGCGTATGTCTACCATGCTCATGGAGCGCTTTTATCGATAAAGAATTGGTCATATTCAACCGAGTACTCTCCAGTGTTGGATTGACTAAGTCACTTGAAGTTCTCCCAAAATTAGGAAGGTACCTATTGAATGGGGGCTTGCACGACCTAATTTGTGGTCCTGGTCGTCTAACCCCTAACTTATTCTCGTACACATCAAAGAAAAGTCTAATTGGATGAGTAGTCTGGACGTGGACCAGAACCAAGTTATTGATTCAAAGAACTTGCTACCAGAGCCATTAGCGGACCGATCAGCTGAGTCACCGTCCTTGGGAGGGAGTTCTTTGTAGCTTTGAGGCTTTGAGGTTTTCGTCCTCTCACCCAGAAGCCCATTTTCGTCGGGTGGATCAGCAATGAAGTCTCACTCTGTTGCTGAAGATCCGCCGTAAGGTATTGTGGCGTACAATGGCCGACAGACTTGGTATGTTTTCTCAGTTTGGGTGTAGACCTTACTAGGAGTAGGGAAGCGAGTGGGACCCGGTATCACCCCCAGTGTAAGTGAATAGTACTCAAACTTCTGTCGTGAGTTACCAGTGTTTGCTGAACAGAACAAAGCGAGAAAATACTTCCTCATTGGGTCACGTGGTGATGTGTGCATGGCGAAGCCAATAAACAGATTATGCAACTGTTACTGGGACATCTAACTGACTTGTTCTCACAGCAGCAGCGAATGTGCACCCCCTGTCGGAATTCGGTACCTCACTCGCACAAGTCCTACGGGATGGTCTTCTTCTCTCGGACAGAAGCATATATATTCAGGAGACGGACTGAAGATTTCGTCCCGCAGATGGGACGCTGAGGGTGCCAGCGCATGGTGGAGCTTGAGTAGGGGCGTTGACTCCTACGGCAGTGTACAGCTGGTTGACGCGCTCAGCGACACCTACCCCAAACAAATACATTGAAGAAGTGACGAACGAGGGATTCTCTATTCGCCAAATGAGGGGACTCCCATGATCAGAAGCCACGAGCATTGGCTTTCTACCGGCTCTGTGTGAACTGGACACGCTGTTCATTTGAGAGCGTCGGATGAAGAACCAATCCAAGCCAAGAAATCGCCGTCTATCCTTGAGGCATCTGAATAATATTGCAGCTGACCCAGGCATTCAGTTAGCTTCCACCCTAAGTGAGTATCCTTGTGAGTTTGTCTCATCACATTGAACGACCATTAACTGTCTCATGAGCGAGACTATTCGTATGACCAAAGAGCATTAAGTAGGGTAGTTCTCTAACCCTGTTCGGCTACCCCAAGTCACACTACTGGTGTAACAATGATACTAATGATGGGGACGTACGCGAGTAGTATGTGTTGTTCGTGGAATTTCGCTTTGTGTCTCTTGAAAAGGGGAGATCTGTTGCGGAATTTGTGGAGTCGCCTTGGAACATTTGCTTGGATTTGAGCGAGAAATGATTGGAGTCAATGAATATCCAGGAAATTTCAAAGAGACGCGTTGAGGAGAAGATGGATGTCCAGTTTCTGTAAATAAGATGCAAATGAGAGTTTTACATCACTTGCCAATGGTCTGTAACCAGTTAGTTGTTATTTTCAAATAAATAACTCCGTAGCCTTCTCCCTTTCACTGGTAAGTACTGAGAGTTATTTCAAGCACCACCCATGAGCACCCACTTACTACTAGTAAGATTTAAGTAGATAATGTATCAAATATAGAAACTTTCTAGAAGGGCATTAAAAGCTGCGCGTAACATTCGTCCCGAGTGAATACTCTGCGTATTTCCATCAAATGTAATGTGTTGTGTGCTAGCATGGAATTGTTTCACACTTGTTTGTTTGCAGCTACAAAAACCCGCTATTACTGAATATTTTAACCATCTAAGAGTGCGGAACCTATGGGGCAAACTGATAAAATTGATGCACTGAAACAACCAGGCATTTTTGGCATGGAGAGTATTTTGTGCTGGAACAAACAACAAAGAGAATCGCCGTGGAAAGAAGTTATTTCGCGCTTAAGGTTTGTCGACAGATGTAGTCGTCATTGCAAACGGATCGATCTTAAACAATCGATCAACTGTGGAATCGATTCTTTCAGTTGAAATCGCCCTTTTTCCTTAAAGCACAATAAGATGGAGTAGAATACTGCAGGATGAGCATCATTCACAATCGTGAATTGGCCTCATTGAATAGCATTCATTTTGACTCCTAGCTTCCTCATCTCTGAAGACGTTGAAAAATCGCACCTCTGTATGCACGAATCCCTGATCACACCCTCCTCATCCAGCAAAAGTCAGCAATGTAAATTTGGAACGGCATAACCATCCTTATTGTCATGGGTTTGCTTTCACAGTTACGATTCATTCTTCAATTTATACCTTTCCCTAGTTCCCTCGTCAGACAGCAGCGGGAGTCGAAAGTTCCCCTGCATTCGACAATCCACCATAGGCATCAATCTGTCCTTCAGATGAGCCATGAGGAAATTGGAAGCTGGAATTCACGCACACAGCATCTCGCAGGTTTACTTCTTACACAGTGGTTCATCAGTTCATCAGACAAGCCCGCGTTTATTGTCAGCTACTAAACGAGCGTTAGTCAGTCAATTTACACGCATCTGTCCACTGATAAAGTAGGCTAAACTAAGAAGAATGTGGAATATCTCCATGAAAGCAGATTCATTGCGAATTTTTCAATCCAGGCTTATTTACGGATTGGATACGTTCACTTGTCTAACCAGCAATATGTTCTTATTCAATCACAGCAGCTGAGAGAAATTGTCAATAGAGATTTTATTAGGAGAACCAGCTCCGAACGTAACGGGACCGCATAACAGCCAATGGAAGAACCGTTTTCGTTCAGACAGATTTGATTGGTTGTTCTTCACTCGCCCTTGACAGATGAGTTGTATTCTTAGTGTCACGTGTTTGACCCGCTTGTGCGTGACACTGATCAATAGATCAGCCGGTTCGCACGTTCATTGACTTTTTCTGGTTTAGCCAAGCGCACCAGGATATCAATCGGCTCTCCAGACCGGGGTTCATGGCAATAAGAAGGTATTAAGGGACTGCGGTCCTTGTAAGTGAAGCCAACATGTTAGGAATAGCCGTGAAGCACTGTCGAGTATTCCCCGTAGGGATGAAGCACCTGTACAGTAGTGCACCTTGACTTTCCTGCACAGAGTGGTTTCTCTTACGATACGAAATATCGACCGGAAATTACCAGTTCTTCTCATATAACCTACTTAGTTCAAACATTCACAGTCCCATAATCCCGCTAATGACTGTGAGTTGA